TTGGAAGGCAACAGTAGTGGGCGTTATGTAGTGGTGATCACAAATTAAACGTTACAGGTCTGACTCAGAGCATATATACCAAATTACAACTGGAAAAGTAACATTTGCAAAGCAAATGCATAATGTATACCTTCGTCTAAATCCATCCTACTATAAAATTGCAACATTATGTAACCCAACACCAGTTACCATGGTGAGAGACAGTTCAGTCAGCTTAGAGGTCACTGTTTGGAGAAGGAGAAGAAGAGGAAACGTAGCAAGAACAATGCTTTCTTTCGGTAAACATAAATACAGTCAGTCTGACTGTAATTATAATTTGGTATACTCATTGATACATGTATAATGTGAGTTACGTGACTTTTTTTTTATTCTCTTTAGACGGCCAAGAAATACCGTCGCCGGAAACATCTCGACGATAAACATTCGCACGACTATTCAATCGTCGTCAGTCTAAAGCCGGACATACAAAATAATGCTGTAACAGTTTATTCTTTCTTCGCCCGGAGCGCTAGCGTTTCCGTATCTCAAACTATATCTGTTTAGACACAGATTACGTAACGCCAGTTCTATCAGGCTTTTCGCGCGCTGGTTTAGTGTCATCGATTTTCTAACACAAGTGACTTTATCTAGACCACCATCTTGGCCACAGCTTGGCTCATATTTCTAGTGAGATTTCAAGTTTGAACTTCAAACCGACGCTAAAGTCTTGCACAACTGCCGTCTATTTTAAACCTTTATTGTTGCCGCTGTCGTATATTCTGAACGTAGTTTGCCGCATACATATATCCTGGTCGCAGGATGACTTTATTCATACATGTATTAAGCTTTAAGCTTTGATAGATCTTTAGTTGTAGAAGACCACACAAAAATCCCTGTACTTTTTGTTGAATCATGGAGTTAAAAGGAGATGGTTGAGTCAATAAAGAATCATATTTTAGCTTCCCGGATATGACTGGAGCCCAGAAAAACGATTTCCTACAAAAAAAATTGAGTTTTGCAAGGTCCCCCATATTGACCGTGACTTTTACTGATCCGCCTATACCTTTTAAAGCCTAGAATTCTCAGGTTTTAGTGTAAATAATAGGCGGAAACAGATTTGCTTGCCTGACATACTCTCCAAGAAGAGGTTTGGGTTTTGGCTTATTTTTGGCGTGTTTTGAAGGCTTTTTTCGCCTTTTTTTTGCACTGGAATTTTTTCATGCCAACCCAACACATTCCGGTGCAAAAGAGAAACCCCGATAAAAAGACCTAAAAACACGCCAAAAATAAGCCAAAACCCAAACCTTTGCTTGGAAAATAAACTGACGCCAAAGTCTTGCACAACTGTCGTCTATCTTTATCTTCCCGGATGTGACTGGATACTAGAAAAACTATTTCCTACGAAAAGATTGAGTTTTTGCAAGGCCGGTGACTTTTACTGATCCCTATTTCTGGGTAAGTAATAGGCGGAAACAGATTTGCTTGCCTGACACTCGTCAAAAAACCAAATTGCTTTCTAGCAGTTCAAGTAACTTCCGTGTACACTCATCGGTTTGAGCCCCTAACATCAGATGTAATCACAGCTAAACGGCTTGTTTTTCTCAGAACCAGACGACGTTTACGTTCGCCTCATGACGTCACCATATCTGCGCCTGCGCAGTGGAGAGCGTGACTCAGCTAGGTGACCTTGTCCTTGACTCAGACATGATGAAGTCAAGTGCAGAATGTTCCACGGCGGTTCTACAGCGGGGTAATGGTCCGGAGAAAATGGGGTTCGCGCCATTGACGCTCTGCGCGCGACGCAGGGACGTTGACAGATCACTTTAATGACGTCACGACGCAAGACGGTACTGATGACAGGAAGGGGTGCATGAGTTTTTTTTTATTTTTTTATTGAAACATATAATGACAAGACGCGGTGGCGACACACTCAAGTGACACTTTATATATATATATTCATGTCGCCACCAGACAATACATAATACAGACGACAAGCAAAGCACAGAGTTTTAGGAGTTTTTGAAATCACATCAGTAATTTGAATGGAATCCTAAGGATTTTTCACGGTTTTCGTTAGAAGTTAGTCTACGTTGCACCAGGATTTTGCCTGTTGCGGACGATATCTTTTCCAACATGTGAAAACTATAGTAGGGATGGTATCCTTAAATACGTGAATAAATTTTGAACAAGACGTTTTGTGGAAGTCCTATGGAGTTTCGCGCAGGCGCAGTGCGTTCTACTGAGGTATCTTCTGAGTTAAGCGCCCAACAAGGCGGACGATTCTAACGTTGTACATATATATATATAGTCACGTGAGTGCCAACAGCATGTAGAAAAGACCAGACTCTTCAATCACTGAGAAAAAATTTATTGACACAAATATTTATCCTTCCTTCACAGCTGACACAAGCTCAAGCCACAGATGTGCAGAAAAAACAGCGATGTTCAAGCATTTATGCCAATTTCATGAAGTTCATAGATAAATCATACTTAAAACATAGCAATTAGTTTGAGAAAAAACACAAATTTCATGTTTCACCTAAGGGATTTTCATCAAATTTGATTCCCATTACCAATTGTATGTTTAAGTAATTTTTTTGTAAAATTCATACCGCTTTCATAAAATGTGTATGAACACTTAATCACCCCTGAACAAGGTGGGAGCTTTCACAGACATCAGAAAACCTCAGTCAACAACAGATGCAAAATATCTTTCCCCAAAAGTACATCAATATCAGTGAATGAACAGCTCTACTCTCTGTGAACCATGAAAGACTTGGTCCTAGTAGGCTTAACTGTTGTAGCAAGTCTTTCACTGTAGTATCCTCACTGTAGTCCAGTTTAGAACATCAAGGAAAACAAACTTATGTATACTCATTAGGCCACACCAATTTAATTTCTTGGTTAACGGATTTTTCTAGAAAAATAATGAAGCGGGCGGGCGAAAAAAAATAAAAATAAAACAGGCCTAGGCATCCTATTATGGCCCAAAATGGTACAATAGGAGCCATGAAGTCAACACACCAGGCTGGTTCAAAATTTTAACAATGAATTTTGAACTTTTAATGATAACACTGCATTGAAAGATGGAATAACTGTAACAACTAGGATGAAAAGGACTGTTTTCAACTGTTCAGGGCAAAATATGAGCATTTTGCAGTTGATTCTGAATTTTTATTTTTATTTGCAAATCAGAAAAAAATGAAGCGGCGAATCCGTTAACCAAGAAATTAAATTGGTGTGGCCTTAGGGGTGGGTACCTGTTCGGCTTGATCAGGCACAAGTCCTGAGGATCAGGTCTAGGTTTGAACCTGATGACAGTAACCGTTAGCACAGTACCATATTTTGGAGAACAAACATCATTGAGTACAGGTCTCTGTCAGTGCTACACATTATTTTTGAATTGTATACTGGAGTGATGTATAGCTTTCAATTTACAATCATACAAATGTATGTCAATTTAGGCTAATCTAGTTTGATTCAGGGTTATTTTTTACTTTAATGGCCAGATTACTTAATAAGATATCTGAAGAGCAATTTCCATAGTTGTGTTTTGTTAGGATTAAAGAAAAAGAATTTTTTATGACTTTCATAGACCAGACCAAGCTGAACTTGCACCCACCACTGATACTCATTTTACTGAGCAAAACACAAAAATTTACCTTACATACATTTTTGTAGTTTAGTAGAGAATTCTCATCATTTTTAAGAAGTATGACACTTAAGCACAGAACAGTTAAACATTGATTGTAATGTTACAACAGTCAACCATTACACAACGCTGCACCAAGGCAATCTTTAGGACACAGAAGTTCCAACCTGTAAAAATAATGTCCATTTCAACCAGTGACCCGATTGGTCCTGATAATAAGTTTTGATACATAGAACACGGTTCTGGCCAATCAGAAAGGCTGTTACAGCAGACTGAGTTAAGATTACCATGGAAACAGATAAACAAGTATAAGCACTAGCCAATTAAGTACTACATAGCTATCATGTGACCTGTCGCCATGGTTACACAGTAGCCTCTTTTCTTCCCTTTCCATTAGTCACAAACTAATTATAAGTACACATTTCATAATATCATATACCGATACACTAACTAAATCAACAGCGTGAACCACTAAATATACATATCTGGATAAATATCATAACCCCTATCCTACTATATTATTAGAATAATCACTACATAGATGACAGATACGGCAATAAAGGTACGTCAAAATGTGAGAGATTACGTACAATATATTCCACCACATAGGGCCAAAAAAAGCACCATTTTTCACCACCTCAGTTACGATCACAGTACCAAAGATTATTGCAAGATGAGACAAAAAACATTTATTTTTTCCATAACAGTGAATGAATATATATGGTGCTACAATTTGTATTTTTTACTTTTTACGAAAAAGCCAACTTTTTACGAAAAAGCAAACATTTCAATGTGAAGTGTGTCAAAGTTTGGTGTCCCTAAGCAAAATATTGTTAACACCATCAATTGTAATGTTCCAATCTGGTATTCAAATTTTTGAAAATGTGGTCAGATCATTCTATAGAACTATGGAACCCGAAGTCTTTGTGATAAGTGTTAGAACCCCATGTGATATGACTAGTTATCACACATGCTGGAACACCTGTTTCGAACATTATCGCGGCCCAGGTATGACAATAAGTGATATACTCAATCATACAAATCCACAAAACAATTGAACATTAATTACATTGGGACATCACTATGGCACTTAATACACAATACATCCCCCAAAACATAGTCAACTTCTTGTGTATACTTACACATCAACTTAAGTGTCCAAATTCATCAGTATTATCAAGTCTTTGTCACATTACAAAGAGGAAAAAACACATCTCTGAGGTTCCTCGTAAAAAATACCACACAGAGAAAGGTCTGTAGAGTAGCTATGCAGTTGCCATGGATACAGTTGCCATGGCAACAAGAGTTACCATGGTAACAAGCAACTACAAACTGTCTTGAAAAACATGACAGACTTGTACAGTTAGCCATAAGCTTGTAGAGTTATGACAAGTTGTCTTCTTTCTCCATACAATTCCACATGATACAGACATGCCTGTTTACATTATACAACAGTTAATAAAACACTAATAAGTAAACAGCTACCATCAGTGTCCATTCTTTGTTGTGATACAAACAAACTCTTGTTTACATGAAAACATTAAAGACATCTGCGGAAAAGTACCGCTTTTTCACTTTTTGTTCTTTTTTTCTTTCTTCTCTCAGAAGGGTTCTATGGTCAACATTATTGAGACCAACAGCTGGCACAAAGTGTTTGCCTGAACTTAATTAGATCATCTTTATCTGACCAATCATGGCAGAGCATTTAACCGGATGGTCTGCTACTATTGCAACAGAGCACAGCTGAGAAAGCTCAATTATTTATGTTCAGTATAACTATAAGCATTCTACATGCCCATTGACGTATACACTGGAATATATTCTTTCTTGCTATCATGTAATGCTTAAAGGCATCCAATGCGATTTCATGGCAGCAAAAATGGAGATATTCTGAATAAGGCAATCTTTGTCATATTCACACATACTGCTTGACATTAGCACATTAGAGTCAGTATTTCACACTTGGGGCTTTTACAACTGCAGAAACAAACCGCAAGATATGAGTCCTTTATTTTCTGGGAGGTACCCAAAAAATTAGCCAAAGGCCCTTCCAGTTACATTTTCCGTCAGAATTTTTGCTCCAAGAGGGTCAATATACATTGGGACAGTGTGGTTTCAACTCAGTATGTAGATAAACAACTAGAATATTGACTTTGAAAAATCAGGTTTCCAAGCCCTAAAACTGCACTGGATGCCTTTAAGATGACGACGGTATTTAAAGTTGCTCATTTTCCTTTAAAAAAAGAGCACCCTAATTTTTAGAAATTATTGACTATCACCAGTTTCACTTTAATCCATTTTTGTGGAAGATGTGTAATGTACAAGGTACAAGGAAGTTACCACAACCAGAAAGTTGAAAAGACAGCAGATATTTCCCGATTTACCGTATCAATATCGAGAGATTTAAGTATTACTTCTATCAGCTCAAGAACGATGCTTAATTCTTTCTTTGTTTCATTTTATGGCCACTTACTTCTTCTCACTTTCATTGGAAAAATTGCAAAAATAGAGACATACCTATATGATAGGTACGTGCAAGTCAATGCAATTTTAAATGTATTTGTAAAGAACTGGATATCATTGATAATGTAGCAACCCTACACTGACTCTAATTCCCATTCCACCTAAACTATTCTACATCCCTATATAAGCCTACTATTTCAAGCACTTTTGGCTTCAATTACACAACACTGCCCCCTATCTGAGAAGTAGTAAACTGCAGCTGTTTTTCCCTTCTCAACATTTCTAAGTATTTCCATGAGGAATTGCTTCTGATAAAGTCTAGAGTAGGATTTTTGTAGATTTGTGTCTGGTATCACAAAACCATTCTCTTGTATTTGTTACGTCAAGTTGACTGTTGTGTTTCTGTTTCTGTGACTTTTCATCGCTGCCACATTTTACAACATTAGTCATTTATTATCAATTATATAATATTACGTCTATGTAACTGATATCAGTGTCCTCATTTCAGAATGTCCTGACTTTATACAGTTTTGCGTAGCAAAAAACTGTATACTATTTTCATATTGTCTTCTTATACTCTGATCTCTATTTCTGTCTGTTACTATTATTAAATCTATCAATTTTGCCAATTGCAAAATGCTTATAAGTTCCGGAGGTCACATGCTGACACGAGGGTAAAGGTCAGCTGGTCATAGGTCAAAGTTGAAAGGTCAAAGTGTGTAAAACCTTAATTAGAAAGATGCGCATTATTTTACAGCTTTAACTTCTTGAAGTCTTCATTTAAAGATCTTTACTGTAAGCCTATTTATTTAATAATACCCAAACTACTGTGTTCTTGCAGATTTAAGTAATGAATAGAGTGAAACCCTCTCAAAAACTCACAGAATGGTGAAAAGACATAAAACTCCCAATTATGTGAACATATCTTATTATATGCTTATTTTATGTACATTCAGTGTAGTATTAATTACAAAGGTGGGTGTTCTCGTGTTAATATTTTAGAACGTTCTTTTTCTTGCCTGATTTTCCATCTTTTCTTCTCAACTGAGCAAATTCAAGTCAAGGAATGGTGAGTTAATGGTGGAAAGTTCTTATAATCTGGATGAGGAATTTGCCATAAAAAGTTAAGATGGATCAAAAGAATGGGGTACCGAGATTTTACATGGTGTTGTTTGAATTGAGGAAATATCAGTGTATAACACCATTTTCCTCAGTAAGACCTCCCCTTGGAGAGAAATGGAATAGCCCAGATACAACCAAGCTGTGCTGTAAGTTGGAATATACCAATTCTGTTCAGGGGGATGTTACATGAAAGAAGCACTGGTTACAGTTTCATCAGTAATGCCTCCCCTTGGATAGAAATGGAATAGCCCAGATACAACCAATCTGCGCTGTAAGTTAGAATATACCACTTCTGTTCAGGGGGATGTAACATGGTTACAAACGTGGGCAGGTTTGCAGGTTGAGGACGGCCTTAGTGCTTCTTGCCGCCGCGGTTGCGAGTACGCGGCCCGCCGTTTTCCGCCTTGTTGTTGGCGCGAGGAGTCAGGCTCACGTCCGTGTCACCTCCCTCATCTGAGGAGGCTTCGCTGCCCCTCTTCTTGGCAGCTGGAACAGGGTAGAAAATGAGTAAAGCAGTCGTCTCAGGCTTCTCACCAGGACTTTTTCACAGCATAGGGGTCAGGTACAGAAGGGCAACTTTCGTGGCAAAGTCACGCATTGAATCCCAAAAACATGACCACAGCAGGGGTCTGGTGTTCTTCCTGAAAAATTTTGAAACTCATAACCCCGAGACACTACTTCTCACTTAATGAGGGACAGATTTTGTGAAGTTATGATTTTCCCTTTGCGATAGTTTCATTCTAAAGTTATATTTTCATTTTTTGCAAGATTTATGTAGGTTCTCCACAAAAAAAAACCTATGAAAGACAGCATAGGGGTCCAGCAGATATTGATAAACATGCACATGGCAGCTACGTAAGAAATATACAAAAACTTCCTTACCCTGCAGTTTGGCCTCTCTCCTCTCCTTCTGTCGCTGCTTGGCCTTCTGCTTGGCGGCCGTGGCCTCCCGATACCGCCGCAGCTGGAAGTTCAGGAAGTTCCACATCATCCAAACCTGCAGCAGGGAGATCGCTGCAAGGCAGTTGATCCTGGAATCAAAATCACTGATTAGTCATGACATCATTGAACAACATGGAGATGGCTGCCAGACAGTTGATCCTGGAATCAAAATCATGACATCACTGATTAATCATGACATCATCAAACATCATCCAAACCTGCAGCAGGGAGATCGCTGCCAGGCAGTTGATCCTGGAATCAAAATCACTGATTAGTCATGACATCATTGATTAATCATGACATCATCCAAACCTGCAGCAGGGAGATCGCTGCCAGGCAGTTGATCCTGGAATCAAAATCACTGATTAGTCATGACATCATTGATTAATCATGACATCATTGATTAGTCATGACATCATTGATTAATCATGACATCATCCAAACCTGCAGCAGGGAGATTGCTGCCAGGCAGTTGATCCTGGAATCAAAATCACTGATTAGTCATGACATCATTGAACAACATGGAGATGGCTGCCAGACAGTTGATCCTGGAATCAAAATCACTGATTAGTCATGACATCATTGAACAACATGGAGATGGCCGCCAGGCAGTTGATCCTGGAATCAAAATCATGACATCACTGATTAATCATGACATCATTGATTCATCATGACATCATCAAACACCTTCCAAACCTGCAGAAGAGAGATGGCTGCCAGACAGTTGATCCTGAAATAAAAAAAGTAAAAACTTAAAATTTAATCTGAAAGCTTTTGGTGAAAGTTCACAATGGTTAAGTTCTATTCACCTTTCCCTGTGCACAGAAAAATGCCATTTTGTCAATGTTTCCTCTTCGTTTTCTGTTGTATCATCATTACAAGTACTTAGTTTACCTTATGAGGAAGGTGTTGAAGTTTCCAGTGGCCAGGTCAAAGGTCTGGTTTTCTGCGCGGCCCAGTCCGAACCAGAAGGTGAGCACGGCCAGCGTCACGGTCAGGAAACGGGCGATCACGAACAGCACGGCCCAGATGGAGAAACTGGGATGGATACAAACAAAAGTTTGACTAGAAAGGTAACATTTGCCAGGCAAATGCATAATGTTTACCTTTGCATATGGTCTGCTCTGTTAATTCTTACTCAAACACATATATATGGTGAAAGAAGTCTAAATCCCTCCTGCTATAAAATTGCAACATAATATAACCCACCACTAGTTACTATGGTGACAGATGTTTGGTTCAGGTCATTGACCTTATTGGTTTGGACAAGAAGAGGAAACAGAGCAAAAACAATATGTTTTTCTTCGGTAAATATAATAAGGACAATTGTTCAAATGGACACATGTTCAAGGCAAAAATAAGCTATCTGAGGAACCAAGTGAAGTTACAATAGTCTAAACACCAGGCTATATCTAGTCCGGTCCGTACCCAGTTTTGGCGAAGTCCATTTTCTCGCTGTAGTACAGCATGCGGGACACATGGAACAGAGCCTCCATGAAGTAGTGGATCACCATACAGCACAGGCCAACACGAGTCAGGCTGGGGAAAATCATACAGGTCAGAATCAACAACACAGAAAAAATATTTGTAGTGGGTTTAGTGTAGTTTTCCTGACTGCTTTCTATCTCCTTTATTCCCTTTCTTTTGATCTCGTTATATCTCTTTATCCCTACAACTAGTATATGCTAAGGCCTATGGCTAGTCTTATTACTAAGGCCACACCAATTTCATTTGTTGGTTCTTTTACAAACAATAGAAAGCGATAGGGTGAAAAAAACAGGCCTAGGCATCCTATGATAGCCTCAAATGCTAATTTTGGAGCCATGAGGGTGACCAGGTTTGTTTTGTTATTCACGGACATTGTCAAAAGCAATCAATGAAAGAAACTATATAATATGTGTGGTCACATTATCAGCTAGTGGCTGCCTTGTGTACTGACTACTGTCTTGCTCCAATTTCAATAAAGAAAGAAAGAAACTATACAGCAAAGACTTCATTTTTTTACAGTGACTAAGGCCCAGTTTAGACGAAGCATTTCGCGACAGCGGCGATATTTCCCGCTGTCGGGACGCCGCTGTCGCGACGTCTTTATACACACAAATGACTTCGCATCGAGCATCGAACATCCGAATGTTCTAATGTTCTAACGCGCGAAATCCAAAATGGCGGGGAGCCGCCAATGTTTTTCCTCGCCGTGTGTCAGATGTTTTTCTTTATGTTAGTCACTGGCGTCTTGTCCAATATGAGGCGACGAGCAAGGGGTGCACGCAGGAGACGGTTGAGTTACCGGGAGATGTTGCTGACACGTCGCGCAGCAAGAATACACCCTGCTTACCTCACCGCTGCCATTGCTTTGGGTCTTAGGTGAAGAAACTCGCAGCCTTCGACTTTCGTCTCCTTGGACGACGAAACTCGCTGTGCGATTCTCTGCAAATCGCATACGATTACATACCTGGCCATTTTGATCAATGAGAGAGAGTTCTAATGCCCCGCGCTATATGCTAATCAATCCGCGCCATATGCTAATCGCTGAACTCTGACCTCCCGCTGTCGCGAGTTCTCTATACGCACTTTAAAGTTGTCGGGACTCCCGCTGAGTTGTCGGCCGACAATTTCGGAGCTGTCGGCAGAAAATTTCATGACAGCGGGACTACGCTGTCGGCAATCCTCTCTAGACGGCGTTCCCGCTGTCGGCGTGCCGCTGTCAGCAGTTACCGCTGTCGCGAAATGCTTCGTCTAGAGTGGGCCTAAATAGCACCAACTGAATGGAAAGACAATGTTCCAGCTTCCTGTGGTGTACATCTATAGTTAGAATTATGTAAGAGAAGATCAGGACAAGGGTGTAGTACTCACTTGAGAGCATAGGTGGCGCCGATGAAGACAAGGTACAGGGAGGCATACTGCACCCGGGCAGGCATCTCATCCTGGTGACAAGGACAGAATGATCAATTCATGACACAAAATCTTCTTAAAAAAAGGAAGGTAGGTAGGAAAGGAGCGAATGAAAGGAAGGAAGGTAAGAAAGAACGGAGGAAAGTTGGGAGGGCCTGAGGCTAGGGAAGGGAAGGAACAAATAAAGAAAGGAAGGAAAGAGGGAAGAAAGGTAAGAAAGAAAGAAAGGAGAGAAGGGGGAGGAAGGATGGAAGAAAGGTAGGAAAAAACATGGGAGCTAGTTATCCTACAAAAAATAAGAGCACTCAAAACACTCAATGAAGAAGGGTAGTAGAGAAAACAGTATGGAAGGTGGTAGAAAAGATTTCTTTCCTACCAAGGATGAAACAGGGTACTAAAACATGTCTGAAGGAATTCTTTACCTTCTTGACTTTCTGGAAGTAGAGTTCTGGGAAGCAGTGAACCCAGTAAGCCAGCTGGCAGATGTAGAAGAACTTGGTCTGAAACAGCATGTCTGTGTGGGGGTAACCCTCCCACAGCTGGGCTATGTTCGTGATGTAGTTCTCCTGGAAACAAATTTGTCCTTCTTGTTACGTATACAATCAACAGTTTTTTGCAAAATAAAAATAAAATACATCAAAAGATACATCTCAGTCTTACAAAACAATGTAGAAATGCTTGTCCTGAAAACATTTCAACAAACAAAACAACTGTCATTTCTAGGTACTGTACAAGATCTGGTGGTTGGAAACTCTGCTTTAGGAATTAAAGCTATTGTCTTTGTTGGTACAACTAACAATTTTTTGCAACATATCATGAAGCAAAAGATGCATAAGGTACATGTAGTGTTCACCAGTTTCCATCATATAGAATTTTCTAGTTTTGGACTAAATGGACACTTCAGATGTTGGCATGGCCTGCCAATGTGTGTTTTTAAGGTCTACAACTCAGCTAGATGACTTTAACATAATTCCCACATGTATTAAGATAGAAAAGCCTAGTATTAGTGGTTTTTGCAGCCTGGGTACCAACCTGGTCGCTACCTAACGGATGTAAACTACCTGGTAACAAGGATGGCACCTAATCTCCAAGCAGATCATATGGTGGAAAGGCAGTGTCCATTGGTGTACATTAGCCACCATAGATCGATCCTTTGGTGGCTGTACAAACTCCTCTGGCTAATGGATACTGTCTTGCCAACCACCGAAAGGGATCTGCTTGGACATTTAGATGGCACCCAGGCTGTGGTCTTTGCTGAGAAATGGACAAACCTCGAAGATGATGTTTGACCCCCAGATGACCGAGGCCACGTAGAAGATGACCAGCTGACCAGACTCATTAAACTTGCTGTGCTTCACCTTCGACAGGTGCAGGCGGCGATTCACCTTCTGCACAACACATGGAAAAAATTGTATTAAAGGAGTTCTTAAGACCAGAAGGTAGTGCTATTTTCTAATAGATTATGCTTCAATGAATACGCAAATAGCCAACTTTTTACAGAATAGTGCGTACCACATGTTTGTATCAATATCAATATCATTTTCCCCCATGCTGAACCACAATACATCTGGGAACTTTGGATTGTGCAATGCTCAAATACTTCATGTCAATATCAACATCTGTGGGAAAAACTATAGGAGACAAGCATACCAATATGATGCTTGCCAACTTGGTAGAAAACCCTCAAACCCTTAAATTTCTCTGGCTTATGCACTGCATATCAGGGATCTCCCCAGAAATTTAGGACAGAATGGAGGAGAGTGCGAAATATCGGTAAATTTGACCAAAGAACCCTGGAAAAGGGTGTAAAAACACTAGTTTTGAAAATTAACAGGGTGGAGCTGAGATAAGGACTGGGTGGAGGAGCTCCACTGCTCCATTGTTTAGGGAGGTCCCTGCATATCTTTTTGTACAACATATTAGTAACATAACATGTAACAAGAAATCACAACCCACATCCAGGATGTACTCCTGCACCACGGCGTGCAGCACGATGGCGATCAGCAGGTAGAAAAACACGCTGCAGAAGTCCTTACGGCCGTTGGTGTAGTACGTCACCTCCGTGGGCGGGTCTGTGTCTGCGGTGGGTGGGGGGTGAAGAAAAAAAAGGGTCAGGAACAGCAGTTTTTTTGTGGACTCCAGGAGTACATTTTTTAGTTTCATGCAATTAGAGTTTGAAGCTGGTGTGTTATGCCAAAGGGCAGTTATACCGGCTATACCGATTCAGATACAGAATGCAATTTCAGGGCAGAAAATCAGGAAATGTTCTCAATAAGTCAATCTGTGTGATATTGACACAAAACTTATTGTTTCCATAAGCACAACTACATCAGTATTTCATACTCTGGGCATTTAAAACAGTGCAGAAACAAGCCCCAAGATGTGTCCTTTATTCTATGGGTAATACCCCGAAAAATCATCAACCCAGAATCCTACGGTATCAGTAACCATTTTCCGTTACAATTTTCGGTAACTTTTGGCCATAGATCCTCTTGAAGCTTGTTGTTAACTTATTAACTCATAACACATTAACTCAGTCTCATCATTATTAACTCACCGTTGAAGACCTCTGTGTGGTTATGCTGCATGGTGATGAACAGTGACGCTGTCTGCTGTGTCACCTGCAAGAACCAACAACATGCCATCATTCCCTGTTTGTAGTTTGCAAAATATACAAATATTGGAACTAACAGTAACAGGTGCCTTGTTCCCATCATCCAAAGGAGGGTCTGCATGGGGGGCTCCTGGCAATGCAGTGGTAGAAATACTTTTTTCAGTGTTCTGAAATATTGCAGAATGGGAAAATTTGTTCTGCAATTTGGAAATACTTTCTGTGAGTGTGAACATACACTTGTAGGTCCAGCCTTAACACATGGCATATACAAAATTGCATGTTGGTAAACAGTTCACATGCAATTTGAAAAATGCTGGTAAAATTACTAGAATATTATTGAGTCAGTAATTAACACAAAAGCTCTTAATTTAAGAGCTTTCGTGTTTATTACTGGCTAATTTTACCAGCTTTTTTTTACCAGCATAGTCTAAGCATAATATTGTTTTTAAGAGTCTTAAAAACAATATTATGCAAGCCTTGTATTACTAGCCACATCTGGTACTAGCTCTACTAATAAGGGTACCAAAAAGGTTGCAATTATGAAGGAGCATATGAAAATTTTGTTGCCATAACAACTGACAATATCAGAAATATCATTTCCAGTATTTGACGCAGGTGAACAATTTGGTAAAAGAATAATTACATCGCAGTAAGCACTATAATGGAAATTACAGTCAAAACACATTTTCATAAGTGTCTCTAGTCCTCAATCTGAATGGCTATAATTTCATTTTGCCTGCAAGGCATACACATATAATATTACGAAGATATTATCTACATACTAAATAATTCCAATTGAATACTTAGTATAGTCTTGATATAGATTCAAAGGGTAACAAATTCTTTGAAGGTCCAATTTTAATATCATTAGTCATGGGTTATCGTAACTTTATCTTTCTTCAACATCAGATTGTAACATCTTTAGGATAGTTTCACTGATCAAATAGAAACAGAAGATACCGTAACTTCATTTATTTTCACTGTGGTTTTATTTTATGGTAGGTGGGAAAAGGACCGTTTTGTTTTTTCAGGATTTTAAGTTTTTGGTTGCGACAGTTCTATAGTACAGTACAAGTACAAATATATAGTGGTGTTGTGATTTCAAAGTAAGAAATATAATTTTGCGAAAATAAAATCACTGTAAACTTTTTCAAGATTTACAGTGTCGGAGACTAAGTAAGGGTTGTCTGATTATGTCGGTTGTTTTACCATATTAGGAAATGTAACGAAAGAAGGGCCTTGTTTTTTCCATAGAGGAAGTCATGTACAAGGCTGACTGAAACAGTAGACGGACATGTACAAAGATAGACCTTTCTGATCAACAAAGATAGCAAAAACATAGTAAGACATACACATATCATCAGGCATTGACTGGGTATCACTACTGTGTACATAACTACATAAAATTAGCGATGAAAATTGATTGGTGGCTTGTTGTTGCGGGTATTTCTTAGAAATATAAACATGTGTACAATGGAACACAAACATGTATCATATTTCTTCCGGTCTGAAAATAATATTGGTATCATGATACAGACAGGAGTCAGAGGATGAACTTGTAGGTTTAGTTTTCTTGACAAAAAGGTGTTCCTCCTTCTTTCCTACACGTCAAGGTACTAGTAATTTTTTGCAAATTCCTTTATTGCAAATTCCTTTATTTTCATAATTAAAAGTGATGAGGTACTGGTATTTGCAGTTTTTAAAAGTTTTTTGTTGAAACATAATGTACCACAAAAACACTTTCACAGTATCATGATTTCATATTCATAAGAAAGATACTACTAGTATCTCACAAATCTAGATCTCTAAAAAAATATGCCAATAAATATCTATCTCTTTTGCAGTTAAAAAAGAAATACATTGTACCAACAAAACCTCTGTGCCCTGAAGAATATCCACTAGCCTCTATCTGGCTTCAGAAGGGGTTGGTCTGTTTGGCCAATTTCTACTCTTTCCAGCCGCTTCTGAAGCCTGGTAGAGGCTACAATACATCCACAACACATGTAGTACTTCTAGGAAGCCCCCATCAACCATATGCCATATTTGGAATATATGCAAAATTAAGGATCAATTTAAAACAGTAACTGACTATTGCGTAGATCTTTCGTGTAGTGTGGCTACATGCATCACTAAGAATTCTTTTCTAGACATCTTGAAACTGATCTGATTTAGATTTGTCCATCACAAATTCACACAACCTTGGTGTTGCTGTCTACACTCTACTCAGTATACGTGGCACTCACGAAAATGTGTTGAGTGCGCAAAAAAATCTTCAATTTCACCCTCTTTTTAGTACTCTAAAAAAATAAATCCAGCAGCAATACAAAAAGGGAACTCAAGCGACCAGTTACGTAAAGAAAAGAGTTGTTGGTTATACCGATTTTTCTCTCCATATGGATATGATAACGTTACATAAATATGGTGCAAACGGAACGGAAACTGAGGCTGCGTCTAAGAGCTTACGTTGTTGTTGAGAAAAAACATCGCGTCTTCTAAAATTTCTAACCATCTATACAGTATTTGTTGGCCTTAAGGAGTGATGTGGCGAGTTGTGGTGACAAGAAAAGATGAGAGGAGAAAATAAATGGCGATATCTGTTTTCTAGGGCTTTAGCGAGCGCCCCATATGGGAGTAGACAGGTAGGAAACTAGGGGGAGGGCGGCTACACCTTACCTGGAACATCAGGCCGACTACCATGAACATAGCCACGCAGGACACGATATCAGCATGATTCTGGATGACGAACTCGTGGCTGAAGACGCTCGGGCTCTTGGTGCTGCCGACTTTCCTCCGCATCCCCATCTTGAAGGCTTTTTTCACAGCGACTCCTTCGCAAACCACTCCTTCGCGGTGCCACGAAACTCGAAGAGGCCGAAATTTATCCACAGATGCATGAAATGAGACGACACGATTGGTTAGAAAGCTGTTGACGTCTTGCAATACTCGATAATGATTGGCTAGGTGTCTGTTACATCATTGCTGATTGGTTAGCTTTTCATGACCGTCGGGAAAGTGTCGAAAGGTGATTTCCCGAATTTGGACGAGCCTAAATTGGTAGGGGTGATAAAATAGAATTATCTTTTGAACACATGATCCTTCCCATAAAAAGCGAAAGCAATAGAAAAAATTATATCTTTGTATTAAATATAATATGTTCTTTCATAGTTGTTGGTGAAATTTTCTTTAATTCTGTTTTTGTAGGTAAAACAATTCAATCGATTAAAAGTACCACCCCTCTAACTTCCCACGTCCCAAGATGGCCGAAGTTGGGAGGATGTGCAGAAAGTGTGGGAGTTTTGAAGTGTCTCTCCGGCCACCTGCGGCCACTGTCTAACGGTCAAACGTCTCAAAGGTACTCTCCAAAGGTCAGAAATAACCGGTGAAAGATTTCTAAGTTGCCAACGAAAGGTAGAAAGTCTAGGATAAGGTTTTCTCTGGACTGATTTCCCCCCTTCAATCTTATTTCAATATTTATACATGAGGGTAGATAGGGTAACAGTGTGGTCACAAGGCTCTCAGGCACCGTAAAAGCTGAATTTTTCTTCGGCACTGTGAGCCTCTGTCGCCGCCTGGCCAACTAAGCTAGTCCCGGGGATTTTCACCTACTGGAGTCAGTAATTTGGGCAAAAGACCTGGCCTATCTAGCAAGCCCCACCCCTTTTTCTTTGGATGGTGAACAGAAATACACAGATTCTAACGTATTCACCTAGCCCTAAGCCTGGATGCCAGACCACTAGCACGCTAGGCCCACAGTTATTAGCCATCGTGTGAATCAGGTTCTAAGGGACTGTACGATATTTACCGGGGGGGGAGGGCTGGTGCAAAATGGTCCGGTAAAATTTTTTTTCCATGGCCCTCCCCCCGGCTCAAAAAATTTTTCGGTGGCCCTCCCCCCGGCTCAAAATTTTTTTCAATGGCCCTCCCCCCACCCCAAAAAAATTTTTCGGTGGCCCTCCCCCCCATTTTTCCAGTCCATGTCTCTTTCTCCCTCCGTAAATTCCCGAATGAAGTACGCATCTCGATTAAAGTACGCACCCCCGACTTGGGGCTGGTGGGAGACAAATATTCCCGTCTGAAACGTAAAATGGAAAAACTCGAATTAAGTACGCACCCCTTCTTCGCACGGCCGGTACCACAGTGAACATTAGTATGTATGTCTTAAAGACAGTTCGTCGTTCCAAACAAATTTGAAATGGTTAAAAACTAGATTCACGCCGTGTACTACGTGATTCTATGGTAACGTAGCGGGAAACGTTTCAAGTTCGGCCTTGTTTTCACCGCCGGCCGCAGCCGACTTGCCGTCACCACCGCATCGAAAGGTAAGGCAAGTGCGGCGAAACGCACAGATTTGGATCCAGCTTTGGAGTGTTGGTGATCAAGCAAGCAAATTATGGTCAATAACGATTCGTGAAAAAAAGACAATATTTCAATATTGATTATGTCGGTAACGGGGGGGGGGTAGTTGAATGTTAATGTACAAGTACGTAGCTTTAATATTTTTAATACGAAATGCGCCGAACATTTCTTTAATAGCGCCCGCGCGATCGACCCAAGGAGAGCAACAATCATACAGGCGGAGAACTGGGCGGAGTATTTGGGCGTAGAGGTGCTACCGAATTTAAAATTTGACACCGAAACCAATTAACACAACAACAAAAGACTACTGGGATCAATGGGACTTGCGATTCCAAACAGGAGAAAGTGACAAGTTTGACTGCGTTTCAAGTAATCTCTCGTTATGTGATAGATGTTTTTGTCACAAAATCAAAGGAATAAACACATGTATTAATTTGTACTCAGTAAAACTGATAAGTAAAGTCTGTTCAGAGGAAGGAAAGACTTCCTTCTCGGGGTCCATGTTCTGGAAAGCTGTCCTCAGCGCTGCGCATGCCACGGCCCTCTCTGTGTTCTTCAGCTGTAGGTGTAACACCCCACCCACCGGCCGGGCGGTAAGATTTCATCAAAGACTACATTTTAAGTTAACTCCGCCCCTATCATTGTAGCTTGCCGAACAGTCGAGTAGGAGTATATCTAGCTGGAATTTTCACGTCGTACTGGCTGGTGTAGCCCGCTACAAAGTAATTTCCTGTGGCATTTATCAAGATTTAAAAATAGTTGTGATACGAAGTGAAACATGGTTAACAATTTCTGAACCTTTGAAACGACATGGGCATAATCTTTGTTGAAGATTCCTGAGTTGAACTCAAGCCGGAAGTGTATTTGAAATGGTGACCATCAGTCGAGGCACAACTGTTATGTTATCACGTTACGTTACGACGATCAAGAACGTTCACGGCTTGCGGACCATTTCAAATATTACCACTCACAAACCCTACAATGTCTATTGTATGTGTACTTACGGGAGGTTATATTTTTGCCGGGGTTCTACTGAGATCGGCGCCGGCTAGCTGCATGGGGAACGATCCTGTCGGCATGACAAAGCGCCGGGCGTCATTGCCAGAGACCTACATTTTCTTACCGTGGGTGACTTCTTCTTTTTACCGCAACTTGGTGTCAATATCGACGATAGTCACAGGAAATATGTTCATTTATTGAAGTTTAACTTTATTTCCACTCGTCAATATTCTTATCTAAACATGCTATAGACGATCGATGTTCCAAGCTCCCCGTGCCGGTGTTCCGCTATATTCCTGGGTTGTCCACGGATTTGTCGGCAGAAAACTCAAATAAAGTACGCACCGCGACTTTGGCGACGGCCCGAGACACTTCTGGGATTTTGAAAAATGTAAAAAGTGCGTACTATATTCGGGAATTTACGGCGTCTTTCTTGTAATTCGGTACTACGCGACGCCATATTTTACAAAAGTTTTTCGGTGGCCCTCCCCCCCAGGCCGATTTTTTTTTTCGATGGCCCTCCCCCGGCTCAAAATTTTTTCCATGGCCCTCCCCCCAGGCCAAAAATTTTTTCAATGACCCTCCCCCCCAGTGCACCAGCCCTCCCCCCCCGGTAAATATCGTACAGTCCCTAACTGATTATAACTTCCTTGGGCATGGAGTCGAGAAACTGGTCTGGGTAGGCCCTGGAAACAGTCTGGCATCCAGGCTAGTTTTCACGTTGATAGTTACCTTTATTTCTTAATATCACAAAGCATTTATGCACTGTAACATGCCTATACGAGTGATCACCATGACGTCATGGTAGGCCAAAAGCAGGTGACGGTTGGTTGATTTGCCTACCAATAGTTTGCATATGTCTTCAAATAATTTGCATTTATATGAATAATGCAAACAAAAACAGCGATCGCTCGTATGGCAGAAAGGATGTTATATTGAAAGTTTTTATAATCCACATTTTCTTACCCATCAGGTGATCCAGCACCCATGGCTGATGTTGCTGCATCTGAACCTACCACCCCACCCCCTCAGGTAACACCACCCCCACCCCAGGCAATGGCACAACCCCACAGCCCAGTCACCGCAACAGAACTTCAGTCTTCAGTTGCCCAACCCCAGCCAGAAACCCAGCTCCAGGACACACCCATGAACGCAGCACCCCCACCCCAGAAAACCTTCCCACCCCTACCCCTGGGCAGAGCATCACCACCCAGGGGGTTGAGGATGTTACTCCAAGAGACAACATCATCACACCCTGGGGTCAGAACACAGACCCAGGGGATGATGACACCCCCACCCCAGGGCACGACACCCCCACCGCAGGGGACTGTGACCCCAGGGAGCCAGGAGGATGGTGCGGTGAGGAGGAGCCACCGGGCTGCTGTCGCACGGTAAGTCTGGCAGACAGGCCAAGGTATTCAACATCATGAGAGGACTTGAAAGAATCCCAGTCCATACATTTTAGTTTCTTCATTCATATGATTGGATGTGTGAGTAGAGGAGTGCTCTCAATGCATTTAGGAGGGTCCAGGGACAAATTTAGGATTTTCAAGCCATTATTTTGATTTTTGAATTTGATTTTATTGAAATTGCAACAATGCAATACACGCGGAGCAGAGGCAGCTGTTGCTGGTGTTGTGTCCCGCACATAGAAACAAATACTGGACAGACAATACTCATTTTCACTTGAGTCTAGTGGGAAAAGTCGTGTTAAGTGCCTCTCCCAAGGGCAATGGTCGGTGGCATGTCAGGACTCGAACCCGGGACCTCTTGATTCCAAATCGCGCACGCTGCCGTTGCGCCACACGACCCCAAGCCTTTATGCATTGGGGGTTGTTATTAATTGGTCCTTTGGATGTTTTTATATATTTTTTCCCAAGATTTTGTCAATTTTGTCTATCATCAAGGTTAACGGATTGGTTTTAAAATCTTTCTGTCATACCTAACAAAGTTCCTGCAATTTGACGGAAAAACTGGTGCTGGCTAGAGCCCTGTGCTGTCAATAGCTGGAACGGATAAAGCACAGTACCGGTAGTTGCTGCAGGTTTTTGGCCATTGTTATTTTTGGACAATCATGCTTGTAGTAACTTACAGCTAACAATTAAAGAAAGGGTAGAGTTTTGGAAGTGATGGCGTCAGTTCCCTCTATAGTCAACTGATCATTGTGTAGGCTAAATATGGTAATACTATCAACATTTAGGCCACACCAATTTAATTTGTTGGTTCTCGGATTTTTTCAGAAAAAATATGAAGTGACAGGGCGAAAAAAAATAAAATAAAAACAGGTCTAGGCATCCTATTATAGCCCCAAATGCTACGATATGAGCCATGAAGTCAACAAAAAAGGCTGGGTTAAAATTTAAAGTATAAATTTTGAACTTTTAATAAAACCACTGCATTGATAGATGGAAAAACTGTAACAACTAGGAAGAAAAGGAATTTCCTCAACTGTTGGGGGCAATATATGAGCATTTTTGAGTTGATTCAGAACCGGAGTCTTTTTTTTTTTTTTGCAAATCAAAAAAAAATGAAGAGGCGAATCCGAGAGCCAACAAATTAAATTGGTGTGGCCTAACAGATCATAGGGACAAGAGCCATTGCTCAAACAGTTAGGTTGTGTTTTCCTGCAAATTTGACCCTGTTTGAGCTAAATTCCACTCTGTTTGATTTTGATGGATCAAGTGAAATGTCTGTTGAGAACAATAGTCTGTGTTTGAAGCAAATGTTTATGCCATGGAACAGCTGTTTAAGTAGTATATAATAAGTACATTGACCACCTGGCTTGTGAATTTTTCGTGGACCCTTTGATAGCTTGTTTTTTTGTGTATTGAGGTTGAGAATTCCAGGCCTTCTGGTGACCACCTGTTTATTGTGGCTATTTTTAGATCCCAAGAGACTGGTTTCTTTATACAGGGTTTCATTAAACTGTATAGCTTTTGTAGGGACTACATGCATATACCAGGGAGATGATAAGCTATTTCAACATTCTAGAATGTCTACATTGGTGCTGATTTGGGCTGAAGGAAACTCCAGCTTTCTTTCTACTGCAACAATTCCCCAAAATTGATTTTCAAAGCCAGTTTTGCTGCCCCGAAATTGCATTGGATGGCTTTAAAACACTGATGATACCATAGTTTATATATGTCCATATGCTAATGTAGCATAAGGTGCATGAGACAAAATGGCTGCCATGTCAAATATATGCACATTATGGACAGCACACAAAACAAGATGGCTGAAAATCTGTAACACACTCACTGTGGTGATGCCAAATACATGTAGGCCGAGTCTGTATAATGGTTCGGTCGGTTTACTCCTAGTATTCCTGCAAATACAGTTAATTTGGGATAATATTTATAATTCTCCTGTTTGTCACAGTATTATAACTACATGTATTTTGAAACCATTTTATACCGAGGTTTATAAGTAATGATTGCTGAACACAAAATATAGGACCCTGTACGCGTTACAGGTTCAATGTATAAAATCACCTAAAACCTGCAAAATTTAATATCTGTACAAACTTAACAATTTCACAGTTGGATTTTGCTCCACTGGTTTGTTCTGTGTACCACTGTAACAGGTACCTTGCTGCAAATACCACCAGATACAAATGTAATGCTTTGGACTTGTGCCAGAGTCCTTGGATTATGGTATACATGAATCGCCAGCTTATCCAGACATATGCTCCCTTTTTCAGTTGTTTTTATACTGCTAACTGAACGGCTGTTAAAATAAATTATCCTTATGTAGCAAGGAATAGTAGTATTCAAATGTTTTCACCATGATTTGGTAGCCTCCATAGCATGCCAAAAACTGGGGGTCTTCAGGGTCTTTGGGATCTTTGATGTGCTATTTTCTGATTGCATATAGACAACATAGCCGGCCTGGTTGAATTACCCCCGTTTAGAAAACAGCCAAAGACCACCAAACCCCCAGTTCTATAAGCCTGCTACAGAGGATAATGATTTGGGTTGTTTCCAGCACCTATAATGGGTTGTTTGTTCTGCTGGTGCCCTTTCCTCTTTCCAACATGGTTAACGTTGCACAATACCCACAGGCCATTTGCTTCCCCCTGCCCGCCTCAGCCAATCAGCACGCGCCATGTCATTTGATTGACAGGTGAGTTGGATGAGAAGTTTTGAAGAAGAATCTGAGCCAGCCATGTTGGAAGCTGAAGGTTTATGAGGCTAGGTAACATTGCCACTTCCTTACTACCTTTCTCTAACGCCTTTCTTGTTATTTTCAGGCGGTGTCGGTGAAAACAGTGAATTTGCTGAACATTTTCAGTCAGTTTGTGACACAAGTTGCATCGCAGTAGTGTACTAATTTGCTATTTCTGATGCTATAGCTCCCATGCAGCCAGCATGTATAGGTTGAGGTAATCTGGACCGTCCTTTGAGATGAAGTTCAGCCCATGAGACAACAGTTCATGAATCCACTTCGGTTTGACTCAGTCAGTGGCTACATAACAGAACAAGAGGCCCTGTCGAGGGTTTTCACAAGTGTTTTTCTCCCATTCTGTTCCAGAAAACCCAGGAAGATACAGAATTTGCCACAGAAACAGTGGATAACCGATCACTGCTGTTGCGACATTCAGGGATACACTCATATTGATTGATCTAAATCTTCAATACATGAAGTCAACTGGTTTTCCCAGTCACCAAGCAATATTCAGGTCACCATGGCTGACACCCCCCTCCCCCTTTAGTTCCATGAGTGAGGGCATTAGCTTATACAAGCATGACACACACTCTGCTATATAAGTCCTCTTGCATATGGGAGATGCATGCACAAGTGGACAAGATACAGGTGGACATATAATTGTGCATGGAAGTTACACGATACATGTATTAGGATACAACTGTACATGTATATGTATGACTGCTGTGTTGGCTCACATACACATATATAGTAACTGACCTTGTACTAATACATGTTTCACATTATGTTAGGTCCAGTTACTGTACAATTATCTACCTTCAGCTGGAATCGAACCACTAGTACTAGTAGTAGCAAGTTGCTAAATGTCTGTAGCTATAGGTTTAATTTAGACTGCTATTCAGGCACTAACAGTCTTCTGTATGGATCGTTGACTTCCAGATAGCAGGCCATGGTTCAGTAATGGATTATGTTTGTCTCTGTCTAGTCTATGTTCCAAATACCCTACTGGTTTGTAGAAATAATAAGGAATTTCAGTATTTGTATATACCAGTATATATATAGCGGTGTTGGCCTCTATGGAGTAACATAAAATCATACGAAATTTAATTTGTAATTGAAATGATTTGTTCAAACATGGATCCCAGAAAACATGAGTAAAATATTTCACTGTTGAAATAATCTGTTCAAAGATGGATTCCAGAAAACAATATGTGTAAAATATCGTTGAAGAGGTTCATCACATGTCATGTAGAATTAACAGTAGAATGTTCTTCAATCAGTGACTGTTTTTGAAAGGTAGAATTTGGAGGTACATGATTTTACCTTTCAAAAACCGAGTCACTGATGGAAGAATATTCTACTGTAACTAAGAATATAGGATAACATGGCCACTCAAAGCCTTCAATCTAGTATGATATCCCAAAGAGGTTAAATACTTGGATATCCCAAACAAGTGCCCCTTTTTCTTTGCTGTATTTTTCCATGTCTAGACATCCTGTGCCCTTGTGAATTGACCTCCATTCCTGAATTACCCAAGATCCATCAGTTCAAAGGCTGCTGTCAACCAATCAGAAGCATTCATATGGTTTGATTGACACACCTATAAGAGACGGTGTTACCCCCGGTATCCTAAGTTTATTCTGTTTTTGGTATGTTGTCATTATCTTAGTTGATCTTATTATCCATGCAACTTTTGATACACGACAGACATTTACAAATGCACAGTTAGGCCTCGAAATTAACTTTTTTTTTTTACTATTGTCCCAGAATTGTCCCAAAAATAGATTTCAATTCTCCTGAACCTTGGATGGACTGTCCCAGCCTGCTTTTCAGGAAATAGGTTTATGACAACAATAAGAAAACAGCAACAACTGATCATGAATTTGTACAACTTGAGGTCCACTTTATTTGTAAATGTCCATCATTTTTCCCAGACTGTAGGGAAATACATAAGTATCATGGGTGTGGCACCATCTTTGAGGCCCCCCCCTCCCCAACATTTGGAATCCCTGCTGATTGGTCAAATTTAACTGTTTGCTTGTTTTGTATCATAGGATGATTCTATCTATTTATGGGTGGTACCCCCCAAAAAATAAAGAAATGCCACATGTAGCTTAATTTTTTTAGCTATTTCAAACTGCAAGTATGAAATCGTGATGAAAATGTGCCAAGAATTGACAGTAAATGTCAATATCTGACAGATTTTCTCATCCAGAATATTTTTATATTGCCGCCTCGAAATTGCACTGGATGCTTTAAGTTTAACCACAACATTTTCCAATAATTTGCAGAGAATCATTCTCGTACAACTTATATCTGGCAGGTTTAGTCTTTTCTAGGTTACTGGCAGAGATCCAATTGTAGCTAACAGTTTGCTGCCCTGACAGTCCCGGGGCTGTTTTAACCCAGTTTAAGAATCAGCCAATCAGAGGCCAGCAGGTCACATGATTGGCAGCAGTGTTGGACAAGAGGAGTGGGGAATGTGGAAGCCATGTTGTCTGGGGATGTGTATGTATGAAGGGGTAATCTTGCACTGCCAGGTATAGCTGGAACTTTACGAAGAATATATCTGCAATGTACATTGTAGGGGTGACGATCGTACACATTTAGTACACAGTCTATTCTGTAGTTCATCGATAGGTTTATAGGTTTGGGTTGTATAGGAATTTAGATTTAAAGGTATATACTACATGTGCACTGTAAAATCATGGGATGTGCATGTATGAAGGGGTAATCTTGCATTGACAGGTATAGCTGGAACTTGTGAAGAATATATGTATGGTGTAGGGGTAACGATATCGATCATATACATATCAGTCAGTCTAATTTCTGTAGTCTGGTGGTAAGTTGGTTTAGGTTGTATAGGAATTTAGATTTGAAGGTATATATTACATTATGTGCACTGTAAAATCATGACTGGATATCTAAAGTGAAGAATCAGATGCATGATGGGTAGATTTGAAGATCCCTAAATTGTCATTAGCTAAAGCTATTCTTTTCGATGCTTAAGGGTTATGTAGCATTTTGAAGCAATTTGTTTGGAAATGCAGATATGTGAAATTGTGCCAGTTTGAAAGGTGCCACAAGGCAGAGCATGTTTTATTATAAATCTTAATCAAGTAGAGAGTATATAAGGCCATTTCATCGTATGCTTGGGCTTAGTTAGAGAATAAGAATAGTTGTAGCATTAGTAATCACACACTAATTATAAAAACTGTGTATGTAGATAGTTGTGTTTAGCTTGTTATTATCCTTTAACTTTAAGCAAAGGTCAATGACATTTTGGTGTCACAGTGCTATGATAGATACATGTTGTACATGTATACAAACGTAAGAGTAGCAGATATATCGGCAGTTTTAAATCAGACGTGTCTACTAAGATCTGAAGTGTAGTGTATGTAGCCTGCTTTCACTTGCTTGGGGGCATGTTGGCCCTGGAGCCAAGGAGCTACAAGCTTGTATAGTTATGGGCCTGTAAACAGTCTGGCATCCAGGCTACACTACATCCTATATACCAGAGATTACTCTTTTTGTTATATGTACATGGAAATTACATGTATTTGAAGACAGATTATATACAGATTATCGGTAAGAAAATCATCCGACAGTCACCCGCTTTTTGCTTCCACTGAGCTGGCTGTGACGTCTTGGCCAATTTTCTTGTCTTCCCCCTAATTTGTTGTGAGAGTTTAGTAATGATTTTTAATCACTCACTCACTCTTTCACTCAGTTCTCATCTCATGCACTGGTGCATCGAGCGGACTAGTTTCGTCAGGGCCTGTCATCTTCACTTTGTCTTTTATAATGTGATTTTAATCTGAGCTGTTTTTTTTTCATGTTGTTTCTACAGAACCAAACAGGAGATCAAGCATGCTGTAGCCCAGCTGAGCACTAAAATGGAGGGACAACCCAAGAGGTCAAAAGGTCAGATCTGTGATGACATGTATTTCTCTAATGTTTCCCTTTATGGTATACTAGTATATTTGTTTTGGGCTCAAAAACTAGATCTCCCAGTTGCCTGTAATTTTGTAACTAAATGTCTGATGCAACATGAAAAAGAAATTAGAATGTTGGCTACTGAGCTTATACCTTATAATTAAGTCATAACTCAACAATTCATAATATCTACATATAGTCACTTAAGCAACTAGATAGATTTTCTAAATAAATCCTATGAGAATCTATCAAGTTGTATGATTTATTTTGTATTCCTGTATGTACTAACTGCATTGTTAATGCATTACACTATCCGATTTACAATTATCAACATGACATTCTCAACGTTGAACTGGTATGTGCATGTATGATTTCCCAGAATCCCCTGGTGGCAGCCATGACAGTTTGAAACGGAAGAGTCCACCTGAGGAAGGCGGGGAGGGGAAGGGTCAGGACCGGAATCATTCCAAAAGTGCCAAGAAGAAAAAGAAGCGGCCGTCGTCACCGTACACCAAACCTCCGCCTCCTGTCAACCAGGATAAAGTGAGGAACTGGTTTCTTATTGTTTTGTTGTTTTGCTGTTGTTTATAAAGAAATATGTTTTATGTATCGGATTCATATGCTTGACAGAAGGATGCAGTTGTAAAGAAACTGCAGGGGGATTGGCTTTCATGGCAGTCATTGATAATTTCTCAAATTGAAATTGGATGACAAAATCTTTCAAAGTGTTAAACACTTTTCATTGCATCTTACAAAACTATTTATTAATTCCTGTCTTGTTCACGAAAGGCATAGAAAAAAAATAACATTGTAAAAACAAAATTCAATGTTACTGCTGATCGTGCTGCCTTTTGAACTTTTAACCCTTGCCCTTTGACCCCTAGGACTCCAGGAATGACTTCTACTGCTGGCTGTGTCATCGGGAGGGGTCGGTGTTGTGCTGTGAACTTTGCCCCCGGGTGTACCACACCCGCTGCCTCAAACTGGCTCAGGAGCCGGACGGAGACTGGGTGTGCCCGGAGTGTGAGGTGGGTCAGAGGTCATCCACAGTGGGTCAGAGGTCACCCAGGGTGGGTCAGAGGTTACCCATGGTGGGTCAGAGGTTACCAATGGTGTGTCAGAGGTTACCCATCATGGTGGGTCAGAGTTTACCCATGGTGGGTTAGAGGTCACCCATGGTGGGTTAGAGGTTACCCATGGTGGGTCAGAGGTTACCCACAGAGAACCTTCAATTTGCATAAAATTTCTTAAGATTGGACCTTGAAAATATACAGAAATCTTGCAAATTTGCAAGGTATCGTGAATTATGGTAATGAGTACTTTCAGCCAAACCTCGTACAAAATATAATTCTCTCCCTTTTTACTGTTTCTAAACCAAATCATTTCTGGGTACCTAAAAGAAACTCACTGATATAATACAAGTCATATGTCAGACTCAGAGGAGAATCTTTCTTTGAATTTGTTGCTTTGATAGTTAAAAACTTTAACACATGTTTCATTCTGTGAAATGACAAACAGAAAGTTCTGTTCCCTGTAGAAAATCATGTCGGCTGAGTGTGTGGATACCCAGTCTAAAGCCATGGGGATGGTGACTGTAGAGAAACTCTCCAAACTCCTGCTCCACTCACTACAGAGGATGAAACATTCAGGGGTCAGTTGAGTCTTCTTATTCTTCTACTGCAATTATTATTTTTGTTTTGTTAAATTTCATTATTTACAGCTGTAGTATATAGGTTCATGATTCGTCTTGTTAATACTTTCACACACAGTTGGAGGTTTTTGTATTGTTTAAATTTTGCAGTTAAAAAAAATTCTGCAAGAATTCTGTATTTTACAGCACTGAAAGCAATGAAAGTCCATATTTGCAGTATCATTTATTAAGTTTTCTTTCTCTCTTTGTATTTTTGTATTTGTTTTTCTTTCTATCTCCTTTCTTTTCTCTTTCCTTCCCTCCTGTTTTCTCCCCATCTTGCTTGCTTTGCTCTATTGTAAACTGGCATATTATAAACCGCAGTCATCGACAAAGGTATGTATTTTACACTTTTATATAGCACAATGCCTTTTCAGCTACTGATGAGGTAGAATATTGTAATGCTTGTGGCTGAATGTGCTGCTACGTTTCCTCTTTAGGCTGAGCCGTTCCAGAATCCAGTAGACCCAGCCCAGGCACCAAACTACAGAGAGTACATCTTCCACCCCATGGACCTCAGCACACTGGAGAGGGTAGGGCTTACTCTTACTTACACTTACTCACACTCACTGACACTCACTCACTCTTACACTCACACACTCACTGACACTCACTCATTCACTCTCACACTTACACTCACTCTCACACTTACTCACACTCACTCTCACTAACTCACACACACATTCACTCACTCACTCACTACTCACTCACTCACTCACTCACACTCTTACTCACACTCACTCACACTCACTCTCACACTCACTCACTCACACACTCACTCACACACACTCACTCACTCACACTCACTCACTCACTCACTCACTCACTCACTCACTCACTCACTCACTCACTCACTCACTCACTCACTCACTCACTCACTCACTCACTCATTCAATGCAACACGGAGTACTAATGCTAGAAGTAATAAATAATCAAGTAATGTGTATGGCAGGCCAGAAAACCAAAGCACTCTGCAGACAACTTGTATTCATTTTTGAATTTTAAATGAACAAATTTGCCATAGCATCAATTATTTATCTGCTACATTAGAACATCAAGAAGAGCAAGTATGGCTGTACCCAGGCCTTTATAGCTGACACCAAGTGGATCTTACACAACTGTATCATCTTCAACGGCTCCAACAACAAGCTGACCACCAGTGCCAGGATGATCGTCAGGATCTGTGAACACGAGGTAGGCTGCAGTTCTGGTTCAACCTGCTAGGTGGCATGCCTGCATTGCTAGAATTTTTGTACTTGTATGTAAATTGCTGTATTCGTAAAAACAAACGTACAAAATGTACCTGTTGCTAAAAGACTGAGAAAAGAGTGCACAAAGGCATCGTGATACAATCAGGTGAAATAAAGGTTTATCTTTTTGATTGATTGATTGATTGATTGATTGGTTGATTGATTGATAACCGCTAACTGCCCCCCTCCCCACAGATGTATGAGATTGAAGTGTGCCCAGACTGCTACACATCGTCTTGTACCAAGAAGGACAACTGGTTCTGTGAGCCGTGTGTAAGTAACATTTCACATGTCTTTTGTATGTATGTTAGTTTAGATGTATTTTTTTTAATGTGAATGTTGTTTTTCAAATAATGTGACAAAATGGACCTAATTCAGGGGGATTCTGCTCCCCCTGCTGTTGTACATTTGTAAAATGATGAGCAATAAATAAAGAAAATAAAAAAAAAATAAATAAAAAAACCCTATCATTCCTTCTTTTCTTTCTTTCTCCCTCTCTCTCTCCCTCTCCCCCCTCTCTCTCCCTCTCCCCCTCTCTCCNCTCCCTCTCCCCTCCTCTCTCTCCTCTTCCTCCTCCTCTCTCTCTCTCTCTCTCATTCTATTAACATCTCACTATACTGGGTAATGATTTGTTTGCTTAGAATATCTTTACTTATAGTTATTTTTAGGAACTGTGTAGCATAAAAAAGAACAACCAAAGTCTCAACTTTGCTGCTAGCTAGATAGCACTTTCCTTTCCTTTAGATGGTTGAATGGTTCAAAGATATATACCATACTATATGCCAAAAAACACTTTACTCAAGCAACTGGATATGATTTTGGAACGTTTTTTTTGCGTATCTTATTACCTGGATGTCTAACCTTCATCTACGTATACCATACTATAGTAAGTGAAAATTTGTTCATTTAAATGTGTCTAAAATTTTTATTACCTTCCAGCGCGAGCCCCACATCCTGGTGTGGGCGAAACTCAAGGGCTTCCCCTTCTGGCCGGCAAAGGTACTGCAGGAGGTGGATGGGCAACTAGATGTGCGCTTTTTTGGGCAGCATGACAGGTAAGGAGCCTGTGCACCCCCCTCCTGACAGTGGAACAGCCTATGGGATGGTTCAGTTTGGTGGTTTGACAGGATTAGCTCATTTACTGTGTGGGAGTGGGAAGATCCATGATTTACCTTTTTGTTTTTGTTCATCTTAAAAGTAACAAGACAGTACAGTACTAGAAAGAAAACAACGCAATAAGTCCTTATAAGACAAGTTTAAATTGTAATTCCCAACACATTGCATAACGTGATGTCACAAATGTGGTGGATTGTTCATTCAAGACTAGAGTTGTACAGTTGACTTCCAACAGCCAACTTCTTGTGTTGGAAATATTCATTCATTCATGTAAAAAACACTCACTACATATAAAAATGACTGGAAAATTGACTTGAAAATCCCTGCCTTTGGGTACCTTTAACGTTACAGTCCTGTTTGCTAATTTCCAGAGCATGGGTTCCAGTTGAGAACTGTTTCATCATGTCTGAGGAGATCCCGTTCCCTGTCAAGAAACAGAAGGGGAGCTTCGACAACGCCGTAGCTGAAATGAACATCTACATCGAGAACCTGCGACGCAAGTTCGGCTCGTTCGAGTACGCAGCTTACCGCAGCCCGTACGATAAAAACCGTGCGTACACTCACAACAAGGTAAGCCCTGTCAGTAACGCTCCCACTGGCAAGGTCCGCAAAATCAACGACGTTGCGCGGAAGCTCGGGAAACACGCCTCGAAACCAAACTTTGCCGCCATGTTGGCGCATAAGGGTGAGCCTGGCGTGCGAAGCGACTCGGCTTCTGAGCAGAGTCTCGTGTTGGAGGAGATCGACTACGGAACGTATGCCAGCACCCCAAGTAGTATCACCACAGCCTCCCCCCTCCCCAGTATTGACTCTGCCGATCCTGTTAACGTGACAAGCCCTGCTTCCTACACTACTGATGCTTCCAACGGCAAAATAACCACCACTGAGTTAGAACAGTCAGCGTTTGACAGCATAGCTCCTTCCAAAAGTCCGCCTGACTTAACTACGGAGGTGAAACGTCCGTTCGGTACCAGAGACGCTTCAGTGAAACAGCCAACAGATTCGCAACCTTCTTCCAATGCGAGTGTTTCACACGAACTCAAACCTGAGACTCCAGCTAGTCAGATTTCTGCCAGGCTATCAGACTCGGCGACAAAACCGTCAAAGTCGCATAGCAACAAGGAATCTTCCCATAACAACAAACCTGCTGCCCATAGCAACAAGAGCTCCGTAGTTAAACCATCATGTAGTAAGGTACAGGTAGACACACCCAAAAAGTATAGCCAGAGTTTGCTGGGAATAAAGACAGGGTTGGATGAGGGCAACGGCTTGTCTTTGCCACTTGAGACTGGGGTGAAAACAGGGATTCCTGCTTCCAGTAACAGTTTACAGCACGTTGCAGATGTGTTAGGTGGGGAGGGGGGCTTGCCTGCAGTGTCTCCACCTCTCAGCACAGCCAGAAAAAGCAGTTCACTGCTACAGACGATCGAGTCGTGTAAGGCCAAGTTGGGAATCAACGAGGTTGGAGAACTGCCGCCACCAGAGGAAGATGGAGAAGAAGGGGAGTCTGAGAGCGAGTCGGACAGCGAAAGCGACGAATCAGACAAGGACAGGGAAGAGGAGGAGGAGGAGGAGGAAGATGGGGACCAATCAGAACAGAGGGAGCAGGGTGGGGAGAATTTAGCTAAAAGGAGTTCTACGTCATCTTCAAATGATATTACTGAACCAAAAGGACTTATTGGAAAGGAAAGCAGAAAGAAAATTGAACATGGTTTAAAATCAGTTGATGAGGATAGAAATTCTCCGGAACTTGAAAGAAGTGACCAAGTGCTTGGTTCAGTAAATCCAGTGGGAGAGCCAGCACGTGAGGAGAAAATGGAAGTTGATCTTCCAAAGGGTGGGGAGAAGATTGATGTTGATCCAATTGTTGATGTAGAGAAGGTTGACTCGGACAGTGGGGAGAGAATGGAAGTTGATCACACGTACAGCAAGTCTGCAGATGAGAAAGGTGAAGATTCTCCCGACATCGGACTGAGGTTAGACTGTGACTCGGATTCCGACTCACATGACCTTGTCATCGACCTTGGGGAAGACTCCACTTCGCGGAAGAAAGAGAAAGACAGCAGGTAGGTATAAATTCTGATCTGAATCACATTTTTAAGAACAAATGTGATTAAAACGTGATTGACTTGGGTGTGAATGGGTACTTGGATTGGGGAAAGTCGTATTGAGGTCACCTTGTGTCGCCGAATGTCAGCCGCACAGACCCTTGTGATAGTTTCACAAAAGTGCAAAAAGCAAATATGTTATCATAATGTATCGTGTATGGATGTTTTGTGTATTGTGTAGGGTTTACATTGTGATTGTAAACCCTACATCAATTCAGTGCTATAAAAGGCTGTGATTGCACGGGTAATGTTTGACCAATAATAAACCATTCATTATGACACATTTCCTCCATGTATTACAGGGAGGTGAAGCAGGAGAAGCTTGCGAAGAGCGACACGGAGCGTGACCTGTCCCCGCCGGCGCTCAGCCCCGTCAGCGCCGTGTCTGTTACTACGGCAACACAGGCCCCCACTCTGCAGAAGGCCACGGTAACCATGGTTACACCTGGTGCAAGCTCTGACAAGGGGTCAAAGGTAAAACCTAGAAAAACGCTGTGTGTCGTGGAATGGAGCTCACTGTAGTTTGTTGACGAAGCTGTTGTCTTTTTAACCCTACCAATGATGTGTTAGGTTTAAAATCAAAGCCTAGTTTTAATGCTGATAGCCTTAATCTGTTCATGTGTAACACTTTGGAGTTGATGTTGTGGTGATTCAGTGTGCAAATGTTGTAAGATGGTGTTTTTTTGGCAATGCCTCAGGACAGATCCATTTGTGTGTGTAATTGCTGGAACCACTTTTTTGGTTTCCCTGTCTTCCGTTTAATACTGTAATTTGAATATTACAGTTACTGTAACTTTATAAGGAGAATCCACCTTCAGTACACTCACTCACCATTTGGTTCAGTGTCTTTTCGTTCCCTGTCTTCCGAGGGATAGACGACATGCTTCCACACTTTTACCGAGGCTTGATGACAGTCCACTGTTTGCCTCTATCCTGTGGGCTGACATATAGATTTAGATTTAGATTTTGAATATTGATGAAACGATTGATTGATGTATTAATAGGAACCTGTGACCATGGACTCCCTGAGTAAGGAATGGACCCAGAGACAACTGAAACGCTCCAGCCAGGAATATCTACAGAAACAGCTGACTCAAAAGGACCCGCCCGCACAAACACCAGGTACCATGACACTCAGGAGTGCAGCAAAGCCTGCACCAGGTTGGTTAGTTAATAAGTTAGACAAGATTTTAATTAACTAAACCAGGAGAAGATCATCATCATCATCATCATTGCAATACATCTGTATCAGGTTGGTTAGTTAATAAGTTAGACAATGTTTCAATTAACTAAACCAGAGAAGATCATCATCATCATCATCATTGCAATACATCTGTATCAGGTTGGTTAGTTAATAAGTTAGACAATGTTTCAATTAACTAAACCAAGAGAAGATAAAGTAATATCCACTGCACCTCAGAAGCATCATGATCATCATCATTCACCATTACAATACATCTATATCAGGTTGATTAGTTGATAAGTAAGACAATGTTTCAATAAGTGACCCATTAACTAAACCAAGAGAAGATGAAGTAATAACTGCACCATCACCATTGCAATACATCTGTATCAGGTTGGTATAAGTAAGACAACATTTCAATTAACTAAACCAGGAGAAGATGCATCATCATCATCACCATTGCAATACATCTGTATCAGGTTGGTTACTTAATAAGTAAGACAATGTTTCAATTAACTAAACCAAGAGAAGATCATCATCATCATCATTCACCATTGCAATACATCTGTATCAGGTTGGTTAGTTAATGAGTTAGACACCATTTTAATTAACTAAACCAAGAGAAGATCATCATCATCATCATTAACCATTACAATACATCTGTATCAGGTTGGTTAGTAAATAAGTTATACAATGTTTCAATTAACTAAACCAAGAGAAGATAAAGTAATAGCCACTGCACTGCAGAAGCATCATGATCATCATCATTCACCCTTGCAATACATTTGTATCAGGTTGGTTAGTTGATAAGTTAGAAAATGTTTCAATATATGACTCATTAACTAAACCAAGAGACAATACAGTAATAGCCACTGCACCTAAGAAGCATCATCATCATTCACCATTACAATACATCAGGTTGGTTAGTTGATAAGTTAGACAATGTTTCAATAAGTGACTCATTAACTAAACCAACAGAAGATGAAGTAACAGCCACTGCACCTCAGAGCAAAAACAACATTTTTTCCTTCAGTTAACATAATAATTATACACATGCCCGTAGCCAGGATTTTGAATGGGGGGGGGTTCGTCCCACTGCTTGAGTGGACCTCGAGCGCCGTAGGCGTGAGGCGAGCGCCGAAGGCGCGAGGTTCCTAGGGGGGTCCGGGGCATGCTCCCCCGGAAAATTTTGAAAAATGAACCTTCTAAAATGGCATTTCGTGCATTTTTGACAGGATTTCCAAGAGAAAATCAGAGATAAATTTTTATTCAATGACAAAGAGAGCAATTAATCTACGATTCCAGTCCATCTTTTCAAGAAAAAACTTGGACCTTTATATAAAATGTGGACCAAAAAGTGGACCTTTACATAAAATGTGGACCAAAAAGTGGACCTTTACATAAAAAGTGGACCAAAATGTGGACCTTTGAGCCTTGTGGGGGGTTCTTCCGAACCCCCGAACCCCCCCTGGCTACGGGCATGATACATGTACAAAATGTATACCAGTACCACAAAAGGCAGAGTAGAATCGACCATTGTTTATTGTTATTGTTTCGTAGCCACGGCAACAACCACCGCCACGCCCGTGTCTCAGACGTTCCCACGCTTTGTCCAGGTGTCAACAGGTACGCCTCAGAAGGTGCTTCTGGGTAAGAGCCTTACATCATTGCCAAGCAGTTTCCACCAATCACAGTGGCTCATCCAAACATGTTCTGCCAATCACAGCAGAGGTTTCATAACAGTGTTCTGTTGAATGTAACAAGCTTCCTGATTTGTTGCTTTGGATGCATCTCATGGAATGTAATGCATCTGTTTGCAAAAGAAAAATATTTCTGTGAATTTTTATTTGGTTTCTCATTGTTTGAAACTGTTTGTCAGTGATGTTGGTGCAATGTAAGTAACTTCTTTGTAATATTTCTTGCACATAATTTCACGAACTTTAAGTGTTCCAGTTTACTGTACATGTACTAAAGTCTGTAACAGTTGTGTTGGTCTGTCATCGATGTTGTTTCTGCATCTGTTTCTACAAAATCTGTTTCTGTTAACAACTTTGTTGGCATTTTTGGATAAAACATATAGTACTGTATATTGACTTAACATAATACATTGTAATCCCAAACCTATGGGAAAAGAGAGAGTTTAGACTTGTAAAGTACATATTGTAGTGTTGATGGTTTTTGCTAACACACAACACATTTTATCAAAATGTTGAACTGAAGTCCAACACAAAGGTTAAACAGTGATCAAATTTTCAGCAACCACTGTCGCCTTCATCAGGATAATGAATGAATGACCAATCACTTCACAACGTAATCTCGCGAGAGTTATGGTTACAGACACAAGACTTAACGGATACGTGATGCAAGCAATTGATCAAAAGTGCCAATGAGTTTATGTTATACTTTTAACTTAACAGATTGAGTGTTTAAGTATGTTTTTTTTTACCCCCTCCTTCCCACAGCTGTACAGCAGACTGCTCACAGCCAGCCTGGCATTGTGGGTCAGAGCCCTGTGGTGTCATCTCCTCCTCCAGTAACTTCCTCAACCAGCTCCTCCTCTACTACTCACACCACCACCACCAGTACAGAGAACACTGATGACATCAGCAAGTATACAGACAAGGTCAGCAGTGGTTTGATTAAAAGTTCAAAACTCATTGTTTGAATTACAAACCAGTCTGGTATGTTGACTTCATGTCTCCTATTGTAGCTTTTAGGGCTATCATAGGCCTATTTTTCCCCCCGTTGTGTCATATGTTTTGTTTTAAAAAGTCTGAGAGTGAATGAATGAATTTAATTGGTATGGTCTGAAGTGCATGTGACTAAGAATAAGAACAAATTATGTTTTACCAGTACATTCACTCCATACCTGTGTCTCACTATATAATAATATTTTAAAATGGCCTGTTTTTGTTGAAGGTCGTTGAGGTTGTGAAGGGCACGTTCCAGCAGATGTGGGCTGACCTTGGTCGCCGTGGAGATAACCTAGCAACCGTGAAACACCTTCAGCTGGAGGTGGAGAAACTCAGCTGGAGACACAGGCAGGAGATGGCCGAGATGAAACATAACATGGGTCAGTTGGATTTTTTTCTTGAGAGTTATCATGATAGTACTTATTTGTACTTGTTCTTGTTGTCTCATAATTATGTGTCAGTGAGTAGCTTTTGTCACTTATAGTTGTTCAAAGTTAAAACTTTTGGTCCAACACCAGTCACTCTGGTCTAAATCAGTAGACTGACCCAGTGAAGCTTGTCACGTGGCTTCTTTGAAGTGTGACATCAAGTGTGACATTGTCTACCAGATACCTTTGACCCAGTGTTGACGTCACACAAAGAAGCCACGTGACAAGCCTCACTGGGTCAGTCTACTGAGGAAGACCAGAGTGACTGGTCGAAAGCTCTAGGTGAGAGAATTTTTTGTGTTGGACCAAAAGGTTTAACTTTAAACAACTATAAGTCATGTTTTCTTGTCTTACATGTGTCTGAGCTACTAACCAAGCCTTCCCTCCCTCCCCAGAGTTGACGATGGCTGAGATGCGTCAGAGTTTGGAGCTGGAGAAACAGCGGCTGATCCAGGACCTGCGCAGACAGTGTGAGGCCGACAAGAACAGGGCTGTGGAGGAGGCCAAGAAAAAACAATGGGTGAGACACGGGAGGAACGCTAACGTTAACCTTCTACCTGGTGCCTAAGGCCACACCAATTTGCTTTGTTGGCTCTCAGATTTTTTTTAGAAGAAATGAAACATCAGGGGAAAAAAAAAGCCAAGAAAAAACAATGGGTAAGACACAGGGAACACTCTTAACCTTCTCCCTGATGCCTAAGGCCACAACAATTTGATTTGTCGGCTCTCTGATTTTTTTTAAGAAAAAATATGAAACATCAGGGCAAAAAAAATCAATGGGTGAGACACAGGGGGAACCAATGTTCTAGCCAGCTATCTGTCTTTCCATCATCTGAAGGAATTTTGTTGCTCAGAACAGACCAAAATTTGCCAAAAAATTGGCATATAAAGATATTGATAAGGGATGACATTAAACTAATCTTAGTCTACCAGCAAAATTGCCCCTCAATATGCAAGCCAGTGAATGGCATTTCAGTCAAGTTTTGAAAATTTTCTACGGGAGCATGCTCTAGAAAACTTTACAAAAGTCGCTTTACAGTTTACTTTTGAACCTAATTTTGACGAATATTTATACCAGAACACACAATGGAAGTTCAGCTACTCTATGGGGAGCTTTCGAGACACTCTCTGTCTCTTCTTCACCTGGTTAAGATCTTGTCTTGGAGTTCTCCTGTCATGTGACTTGATGTGATAATCATGTGAGAACAGACAGTCATATTTTTAGAGCCTGTACTTTTGAGCCTGTACTTTTGTTGCAGCAGTTAAGTATTTTGTATGCATCATCTGTTCTTTCAGTGTGCTTTCTGTGGGAAGGAGGCCATTTTCTACTGTTGCTGGAACACCAGTTACTGCGACTACCCCTGCCAGCAAGCTCATTGGCCAGTCCACATGAACACCTGCAGCCAGTCCACCAATAACAGCACAGCACAAGGTGGCACTGACCAATCAGAGGCCACGAGTGGTGAGTCACCAACCAATCAGGTGCGAGCAGCTGTCAGCATCCAGCAGGCACCTGCAGATTCACAGGTCAAGGGTCAGACAGGCTCCTCCAATGGTGAACAAGGTTCCCTCTTTGTCAAGAAAAAAGTTCAAATTCCTAAGCTTCCTAATAACATTGTATTAAGTTGTCTTAGTTATTTGCTTAGGTTCTCTCTTTCTTTGTCAAGAAGAAAAGTTGAACTTCCTCCCCTAACATTCTAGTTTCTTTAGGCTTTAACACCTAGAATGCGCAATATTTGCCTGTCTTTGCCTGTATTAACTGCAAAGTTGTCTTCGTTATTTGCTTAGGTTCTCTCTTTTTCAAGAAGAAAAGTTCAACTACCTTCCCTAACATTCTAGTTTCTTGTGGCTTTAAATCCTAGCTTGAGCAATCTTTGCCTGTGCACTGTCTCTATAATAACTGCTGAGCTGCCTTAGCTGTTTGCTTATATATGTGTTTGTGTTTTTATTCACATTTACCTATTTTGATGCTTCTAGATAGATTTGGGAAATGGTCACATGCTTCTGCTAGCATCCACTACCTTTTGTCAGTGAAACAGATCTACATGTATGAAGAAAATTAAACTGTATCCAACTCAAAAATAAAAAGTAACTCACCAGAAATTTCGACTACTTGGCTTAAAGTCACGTGTCCACAGCACTTGGGTCATAAAGCTGATGAAGACTGAGCGATTCAGTCGAAAATTTCTGGTGAGTAAGTAATTTCGTTTTTGAGTTGGAGAACAGTTTAATTTTCTTCACATACTTTACTAACTCAGATGAACTTCCATGGTAGATCTACTAGATGTATGGGGGGTTATGAAGGTGTGACAGGGGCTTTAAATCAGGAATAACCACATGCTAATGATGACTTTTGCCTCTTTTAGTGACAGAAGAGGAGTGGAGAGAGAAGCAGCGGGAGTCCCTCACCACTGTGCTGCAGCAACAGAAGAAAGAACAGGCACAGGTTTCCTACACACAGGTCAGCCACAGTCACATTTCCACAGGCACCAGCTTACAGAAAGCCAGGGCATGCCTCAGCTCCATCCTGAAGGAGCAGGAGTCAGAACAGGCACTGGTAATAAACGGGAAGGTCAGTCTCAGGGTTGGTTAGTCAGGCACCAGTTCAGCTGCAGGAGACAGCACGTTGGTTGGATAATCGCTAACCGTTACAAAAGTAGTTACAATACATTTTACTAAGTTAAACTAACTTTTGTACTGTCAGGTTATTGGGATATATAATGTTGAAACAACTAACTGTTGATGTCATTGTTCAAGCAACCTTCAAAATTACCTACACCAAAGAAGTTTTATGCAGAATACAGTTCGGTTTGCCTTTCAGTTCATCCAAAAATTGTAACGTTTTGTTGAAAAAATTGTTCCCACTATCATCATTTTTAATGTTACTAAGTTCTTGGCTGTCTTCAATGATGCTTTCTTGAAGAAGACAAGGCAATTCTTGACCACCACTAGTCGTGACCCCCTAGCATATATAGTGTCTGGGGCTAGAACACCTGTGAAGATGTTTTTCTAAACCGGGGAATAAGGGCGCTACTCCCTCATGTATCCAGCTAGGTCACTCAAATCAACTTTCAGATTGAACCCTAAGTGGCTACAGACTAGTACACAACGTTAAGGCTTTCTCAAAATTTTCCAGTGAAAATGTACAAACAAAACATCGGAATGCATTCTAGCATGACAAACTGTGTTACTCATGTAAAAACTTGCTTCGCTCCCTCACCATGCTAGTGATCTTCTCCCTCATGCTAAATAATTCTAGAAAAACTCATGCTTTGTTAATGTAAGTCTCTCCGTTAACACCTGCTGTCGTGTGTATATAGGTGAGCCAGCCAGGTGTGCAGGTGCGTTACATCCAGCCGGCAGCCTCCCAGCCGCAGACCGTCCAGACTATCGCAACAGTCCGGCCTGGCAGCACCATTATTGTACAGGTGACAACTGTCAGATCATTACTGGTTGTCAAACTTATTTAGACTAAGGGGCTTTTCCGACACATGATGTAGTCACAATGATCCGAAAGTTCAGTCAATAGTCAATCTATCTACATCCTTCCAGTTAAGATTTAGTTTTAGCATGAAAGCAAAAAAACAGTTCCAATGATTTTGGAAACAGTTGCAGGTAGCATCCTTTCAGGTAGCATCCACTATCTTTCGTCAGAGACACTGGTGAGATCCCAAGATTAACAGGTTTATAGCAAGTGTTGTCTGCCTTTAGGGCTGAAAGGTAGTGGATGCTACCTGAAACGTCTGTTTCCAAAAACTGTTTTTTGGGCGTATCTTATTACCTGGATGTCTAACCTTCATTTTAATTTGGCTTCATCGATGTGTCAGATGATTGCTGGTAGTCTAACTCAACTAGACTTAGGGGCTCCCATGTCTTCTGACACACGAGTATTCTGCAAGAGTTGTATTATCCTGTATCATAAATGGGACATTATGTTTTTATCTGTTACAGAGACCGTCGTCTGTAGCCCAGGTGGTCCAGCCGGTGGCCAGCGTGTCGTCCATCCCGGTTCTCAGGCCACAGACCAGCGGAGGTAAGGCTGGACATAGGGTGGACGGGCCTTTTTTCTGTCATCTCAGTTTTGTTTGCAGCAACATCAGTGAACAATTCTGAAATCTTGGCCCTCTGAAACACTATTTCCTGCACTTTGTAGGGGAGATTTTGCTGGTAGACTAGGCTAAGTTTAATGACATATTTTCCATGTCTTTACATACCTATTTTTGTCTGTCAGCACTGACAGATTGGGCAAAATTTTTGTCTTTTATAAGCAACAAAATTTTGTCAAAAAATGAAAAGATGGACACTGGCTAGAACACATGGACAGGTATAAGTTAATCATAAGTGTTCAGGCTATGACTAGGAAATAAATGTTGTTTTTCTGGTTTCAGTCCCGAAAAATATAGGCTCAGTAGGTAGGGAACAGTGTTTGAGTCATTTATACAAATATGTCTCTTCGTTCCGTTCAGTCCCTAACGCATATTTTCATTTCCTTGCAGCAGCCCAAGTCCTGCAGCCTGCAGGAATCCTGCAGCCCGTAGCAGCGTTAACTAGCAACAGCAGCAGCAGCTTCACTCTCCCCTCACAGTGATGCCCTGTACTGACCCCCCCGGGAACTCAACAAGTTCACAACAATCATGAAAGTTCATCTGTGTTGGTAGTTACATGTTTAGAGTTAAAACTTTCGATGCAACACAAAAAGCTCTCTCGCCTACTAGAACTTTCCACCAGTCACTCTGGTCTTCCTCAGTAGACTGACCCAGTAAGGCTTGTCACATGGCTTCTTTGAAGTGTGACGTCAAGACTGGGTTTACTGAGGAAGACTAGAGTGACTGGTCGAAAGCTCTAGGTGAGAGAATCTTTTGTGTTGGATCTAAAGTTTTAACTTTTCACAACAACATAGAAACAGTCTCCAACAGTTCTAAAACAGTAAACTTTAGCCAAATAGGTAGAGTACTTGGCCAGGGAAGTTTGGCCACTGTAGAGTTCATTTACAGCGTTTTTCAGAAGGGGAAATTATATGGTAACCCTCCCACAGACAGACTCTTTTGGCCAGTTATTTTCTTTTTCGCCAAATTCTACAACCTGTGCCCTGTAAGAAAGCCTAGTGGAGGCTACTAAACAGCCTCCTTCCTGTGCTACTGGTTCAGACATTATAGATGAGCCAACAAGACAGCTTGGCTCAAGGTTCATTTGTGTTGGTAACATTCAGTCTGAAGCAGGATTTCACTGTGATTTCCAACTCAAGAAAGAATTGGTCCAACCCAAACTTTTAACAATACAGTGCCAGTTTTTGTCCAGGAATGAGCAAGCCAAAACTTCTGGTGATCCATGGATCCACTGCTCAGCAAGTCATATGTCATGGCTATAGTTGGTACATAAAGTCATAGAAGCACAGAAGCATGTCACCTTGGATTTCATTAGCAGTTACAAAACTGCCACTGTACAGTTGAATTTGGGTAATGTTTTAACATTAAAAGTTCAAGTCTTGTGCTGGAAATTACAGGTATACAGCTTTAGCCCCAAACTAAAGATAGTCCACTATGTGGGCTAACATGCTATCTCTACAACATCTAGAGTTCAAAGATGTATTGTTATTAAGTGAGAAGTTATGTCTTTTGACTATTACTTTGACTCAATGTCAGAAACTACACAGTACTAGCTAGTACGTTTTTGCTTGAAGGTAGTACATGTATTATTGGCATCATATAGAGCCTAGTTTGTTTGTTATTGAAAGTATGTTGTACTTCGGTTAGTTTGAAGAGAATATCTCTGAGAGATATGATATACTGACATAGAGTATGGTTTAAAAAGGCAAGTATGGAGACAAAGTACTAGAGGTTGTATATTTTTGGTTCAGTTGTGTAAGTACTCGCTTTGTATGAAAGTATGAAACCTGAGAAGTGTATCATTCCGGGTAGAACTTTATTGTATGGCTGCCTTTTCAAACACAGAGATTTAGTGTGATGCTTGAAAGCTTCAAAAGAAAGTAGTTTAAAAAGAAAAGGTTCAGAGAAAAAACTGGAGAGTGAAATGACAACATTGAATAAAGCTGCTTGTCATTTTGATGTTTTGACTCCGTCTCCGGTGGTTCTTGATTTTGTGATTTTGAGTGAATGTGTGTTTGCTTGCTGAGGCCAAAATGTTGTTTCTATTTCATCCCTTATGTGTCCCCTGCCTTTAAGATTATACATATAAGTGTACATGAACAAACACATTATATAAATACAATGTAGTAACGTTACTTTTTTGGATGCGTGAGAAACTAAAATGGCAGAAATATTGACAAAAAATCATCATATTCAGCCGCCTGTAAAAGCCATTCTAAGAATGTTTGTCTGAAAATGAACAGATCCAAGACTAAAACGGTTCTTTTCCGATAAATATGTGATATTTATGTAGTTGGAGCGAGCCTCAATGTCAAGAACAAGAGCTAGAAAGAACTGAAGTAAAACCCCCATAAGAGCCCATCGCGTTTCCCCACTCGCCAAATGGCCAAATCTGGGAATGAGCGAGGCTTCTTTAGCGAGATACGGGCCCTTTCTGAACGGGTGCTCCAAAACGGGGGTGTGATAGGGGATGAATTTCCGCTTTTTCAATTTTACAAAAAGAACATTTATGGCATTTTTCGGCACCCATATTTTCAGAGTACAGTCTTCATGGCCTCCACTCTATTCCTACTTAATGCCTTTGCCTGAAGTTTATTCATTCTCGAGTTACACGCAAAAGTGTGTTTTTCCGATCAGCTGATCGCTTGCAGAAGTGGCCATCGCCTTTGCAGAAGCGAGTTTTTCGGTGCCGATCTCATTACCATATGAATGAAAACCAAGCAGATGTTTGGAGGCAAAATCGCAACTACTTTGGGTATCGCCATAGTAACGTTATACACCGGGCATCTGACATCTATATCTGTGTAATGCAGTGTTCTCCCAACTCAGATGCAATTTGAGTGTGTTCATGCCTTGATTTCCTTCGTATATCGCAGTCCCTGTAGTGATATTCAGTTTGTTGTAATGCAGAAAAGGCTAAGTAAACACTGAAGCTATCCCTGTCCTTGGTGCTGAAAGCCATCCCTAAGTAATGTCAAGCCCCCCTCCCCTCCTGCTCGTATTTTAGCCGGACAAACTGGCATTTTTCGCCCTTCTGATTACATAAATCGGCTCCTTTTCTCTGTAAAATCAGCTCTTGCGCCCCTGATGCTTATCTGGAGGAACAAAATTGCCTCAAACACTCCCGTTCGTCGGGAAATCCATCGTAACTTCAGTTGTTTACATCAACAGTAGAGCGGTAATGCAGCGTCGAATCGGCTGCCCATATTTGGGCATAAAATGACGCCATCAATACGTCAAAAATAACCCCAAACCTCTGCTTGGAGGGAAGGGTCAAAGTCCGTGAGAGGTTATACACCTGCCGTGATGACGTCATCAGAACGGTAAACATTAGCCTTTAAGTTTGAACTGAAAACAACGGCCTGGAGAAAAACACACCAGTACCGGTCACACAGGAGTGAGGTAGGTTTTCAGACACATTTGCGTTGTTTCACCCTACACGATTGTTAACTACAGAGTTGTAGTTATATGTGTAACGCTGAAACTTTGTAAGCAAGGTGAGAGATTGTGTTTTTAAAACTAATGTTATAACCGTTAGTTACAATATTAAGTAGCTCTACCATATGGTGAAAAATTATTGTATCATACCATATAGGATGATGATGTTGAAATGTTGCATTGCTTCCTCTTAAAATGAAATGACAGCTTAAGTTGTAAAGGAGTCCCACAGGAATGGACATACATTTGCTGTCAATGTTTGTTTCTTCCAAGCAGGTTTAGGTCTGTGTACTTAAACCTCCTTGTTTGTTTGTTTCTTTGGTCCTGTTCCTAGATGGCTCTCACATCAGAATGGAAGAGTCCACCAGAGTCGTGGACTTCGCTGAACTTTCAGGTTGGTTTTCTGTTCAACCTATGCCTAAAAAGGTTTTTCACTGATGTCAAAATAATTGCAGCAGAAGCATGTTTAATTTCCTGGTTACCAAACCCATTTCAGCCTCTGAGTCTCTTTTGTCCTCTTCTGTGGAGAGGACAGCTAAAATAAATTTGGTAACCAGCCTACTTGCTTAAGTAATACACTTTAATCCAACATGATGTTATACAAAAAGCCCGTATAAAAAGTTTCTTGTTTCCATGTAGGTTGGAGATTTAATTGAGATTCAAGAGGACGACAACAACACTAGCTGGGCTCTGTATCTTGGGCATGCGCAGGTGGTCTACACCCAGGCATCAGCTGACCAACAGCCAACCAATCAGGACACAGCATCTTCAGCCAATCAGAGCACAACGGCTACACCTGGCAGCGACAACCTTCAGAGCACTTCTGCAGCAGCAGGGACCAATGGGAAGGACTGTAACATCCAATATCAAGTCAAGAAAGGTCTACTGAAGGCTGTGATTGGTCAGCACACAGTTAGAATAAACAACATGTATGACAGCACTCGTAAGGCCTTTGCAGTGCCAACTATAGTTGAGAGAGCAGAGCTCCATATTGGTGAGACTATAACAGATAGAAAGGACGCCATTGTGAACCTTAGATACGAAAGGCAAATGAGAGTTTGGCATCTGTAACAAATCTCGAAAAACTTGAAACAATCAGAGTAAAAAAGAAACCTTGCTATATTCAAGTGCTTTAATTTCATAGCCTCTCTATAACAATTTGAAGTCAAAGACTACAGGCAAAAACCCTTTTTACAATATACATGACATATGTTTGCTATCTAATATGTGTGCAGTATTTCTAATTCCACTCTACATATTAACCATTGCTATAGGAATGCTTCACCAACATACATGTTAAGACATACATTGTCATTAAATCTTGTACCTTTTAAAATATCTTGTGACTTTCTTAATATATCACAATCTTTCATCTGTATGTATTGATTATACAAATACTTTATACCATACATTATACCAACCTACATGTATGTACTGTACTATATATACACACAAAACAAGTGCAACATCTTTCAGTGCACAATAATATACAGCTTGAAAACCTACCTAGTCAGTGTAGGCACAATTTGCTAAAGTACTAAAAATAATATTAACATTCTGCCAAGAGCTGCCAAATTTTAATCCACATACTTCATTTAAGCCGCACAGATATCTAATATCAATTACCCATTTTTTCCAATCAGATCTTTATCCTCTCTCAGAGTTATTTTCTACATGGAATGTCTTTGGCCAACACTCACAGTGCACTAGTGAGTCTAGGGCTTGATCATCAGAGCATTACATGGTAGCCAATCCGATAAGCAATCAATATCAGCATGAGAAGTTAGAGTGTCAAATCAACCAATGAGAGATGCTGTAATATCAAATGAGCCAATGAGAGGATGTCTACAGTTTGAATCAACCAATCACAACATTGTGACCAAACCAATGAGCCATCAAAATGAGGAAGTTGGAATGTCAAATGATCCAATGAGAGGAGGCCTTCAGTTTGAATCGACCAATCATGGATTGGCATATGACCAAACCAATCAGCAATGGATTGGCATATCAAATGAGTCAATGAGAGAAAGCCTACATTTTGAATCAACCAATCATGCCATGACAAACCAATGAGCAATGGATTAGCATATCAAATGAGCCAATGAGAGGAAGCCTACACTTTGAATCAGCCAATGACAGAGTGGCAGAGCGGGCAGGTTGCCCGTGAGCCGATCTCCTGTTCGTAGGCGCGGTGTTTGCAGGTCTGGCACATCCAGAACTGGTAGTCGAGCAGCGGGCGGCCCGTCACCACACAGGTGGAGAACTTCTGGTCACAGCTCGGGCACACTGAACACCTGGGGGGGGG